GGACCAAATGCAGATCTCATGTCAGCAGCGTTACCCAAGGGAACCGATTAAGGTTCCAAACTTTGGTTGTCCGGGAAACCGGAGTCCCTGGAGAACACTGAGACATGGGAGAAAATGCCAATCCCACACAGACAGACCCTGAGGCTGGGTTTCTTCTTGGGATGAAAAAGGTTCGGGCTCCAAATCCCAAGTGGCTGGTATTGGTATTTCGTGTGTCTCCGGTGGATTGTCAGTGGCGTTACAAGTTTAGGGGCTGAAAATTGTTTGTCAACTGTAGCACCACATTACATTTTGGAGTGAAATTCTTTAGCGCGACCCTCGTGAGGATCAGTGGTTCGGATTGATGGATGGATGGAATTCTGTAGTAAATCGCCGCATTTTGGAAGTGGTTGTTCCATTTTGCCAAAATGCAAGCCTTGTCCTTTTTGTGTCGAAAATAGAATAATTAATAGAAAGAACAACGAGTGATTCACTGACGTCGCTTAAAACTGATGAAATGACTGTACTGAACTCCAACTTTAAAATCTGACTGACCAAAAATGATGACATCCTACCCTAAAGCATTTGTTGCATGAAATGTTTAGGCTATCACTGTCGTCCGTCGATGTTCACTTGGGTTCGGATCGGTTCTTTTGTGAATATGCAGATGTCTTGTTCTGAGCTGTTGTGTTTTTGTTTTGTTTTGGGGTCTCATTATTTGCTTGGAGGGAGCATTAACTGGCCCTAAAACGCCTTGATCGTCTTCAAATTAGCACAGATTCAAGACTGCCTCTGCCGGATGGAGCAAAGCAGCCCCAGAACATAACCAGTGTTCTTTCATTTTTTTGGTGTTGTGTTTGTGTCTTTAAACACAAAGAGATGATGTGTTTAACTCGAACCCACGTTGACTTGTTAATATGCAAGCAGGCAAATTCCAGTCTCGTCAAGTTATTTCAGTGAACGTTGTGGGGTTTCTTCTTTTGCGTAAGGTGAACAATAATTTTTAGATGGAGGTTTGGTTTAAGTGGAGCATCCATGTTGTATGTTTCCCAAAGGCGGTTCAGGCTCAATGTCGCGGACACAGATTGGTTCCAAATACCAGTGGGGGATATACGGAAACAAAGGGTTTCATTTATTTTGCCGCACCATTTTCAACCTGGCGATGATTTGTGGCGATCCAATCCCCTCCCGAAAGAACAATGATGCTATTTCCTCCAAAGCCTGACTCAATCAGATCTTGGCCTTAGAGAGGTCTGGCAGTCATCTAAAAGCTTACCTCTGTGTGCGTTCTCGGTGTCAAGTATTTGGTAGACACAAAACAAATCTGAAGGCAATCTCTCTTGTCTTCAGTATTATCTTGGTCTTGATTGTTGGGGTATTTTGACCAAAAAAAAAAAGTCACTGGAAACTGTTTTATCGTTTTGGTGGCCAACCTTGTAAGCACAATGTGGAATCTGAGTCACTCAAACTATCGTCAGAAATACCCGTGCGCCAATAAAATTTTGCAGCCGACATTGCTGTATCAAACCAGGAGGAGCTTTGCGCATCAAAGCGTCTCCCTGCAAGACGGTTAACAAGTCTTAAGGATTTATTGGCGGGCAGGTGCGAGAAAGCGCTGTTATTGGATGCCGGGGAGTAGCAAATGAAACGAGACATCGGCGAGTAACTTATAGTCCCGCTGCTGAAGACATAAAACCACATTATGATCTGACAGTCAGGAGCACGGCGGGCATAATTTAAAAGAAGACGCTCGGAGACGCATTGTCCTGTGGCATGCAGAGTGGCACGTGTACCCCTGGGAGAATGGCGGGCTGGTGTAATAATAATCCATTTGGAAGAGTGATTATCCCCCATCAAATCGAAGGTCAACATGGTGCTCTGGTCGTTAGCACGTCTGCCTATATGGGGTATCTGACCCTCTAAGAGATGTATGTTGACAATAACATTGCCACCATTTTTTTTTTTTTTTTTTGGTCTTTCTTCAAATGAGGCTGACCAGCTGGACAGTTCCAGAATTAATATTTACCCCTACAGTATTTTTTGTAATTATCTTCCTCATATATGTGTGGATGGAAGTTGTCAAATGTTTACGTGAAATATTAGTTGATAGAAAAAAAAGCTTTCTGAAATGTATAATATATTTAGATATTTAAAGTGTGCACCAATCAATGCTTTCCGATTAGCCAGGGCTTGGCCGCCATCTTGTGGGATCTTAAGGCTTGACAGAAAGAGCACCAAAACAAAAAAAAAAAAAACAAGAGCAAAGACAAGGCAAGACTCAGTGAATAGCTGAGGATGTTTTACACAGAAAAAAAAATGTGAATTTGGGAAATAATGGTGGTTGTTTTTAATTCCACCAAACACAGATTGTGGCTTTTTGCTCCTTCTAAACACCCTGCTGCCATGTTGGATTTACAGCTGATCGTTTGACCTCATTATAATGAAGCATTTTGTTAAATACATTCATGCACTATGTGTTCTAATTTGGCTTTCTTCTCGTGTCTGCATCCTTCCCGAATATGCATGAAGACCTCAGACAACCTCCTTCACGAGAAGAGGCATCGACTCGCGTTCACCTCCGAGGAGGCAAAGCGCGGCTACTCGAGCCCGAGTGGCGAACGCTGGCCGGGCAACGTCGACAAGCCGCCACGCATCCGCGGTCGTGTCGTTTTAATTAGCCGTCCGCCAGGCAGCTTGGCGACACGTCACGTGTGAAGCGAGACTTCATCGGAGGCGACTGGTTGTTAGCGACAGCGGCCCGTGTGGGTTTTCTTTTCCTCCTTGCGCCCCCCCCCCCTACCTCCACCTCCAAGTCACGCCTGGCAAAGTGAACATAATTAACCTCTGGGGAGCAGGATGTGAGGCAAGAGTCTCAAGCCCCTGATCTCCAGCCTGAATCGTGAGGAAGTCACTGAGTGTGCAGTGGATTTTTTTTTTTTTGTGATACAACGCCTCCAGAGCAACAAGAAAGAAGAAGACTTCCGGTAATATCCAAACCTTTTGGTGACCCTCAAAGATGCATCAGCGAATGCTCTGAATCTTTATGTTGTACAATCACAAGGCTGTAAATTCAATGACGTGTGTATGTACACACACACACACACACACACACACACACACACACACACACACACACACACACACACATCATAACAAATTATAACATTAAACATTAACAATGACCACAGCTCTCACATGTGGTCAACACTTCGTACCCCTGCAGTCAGGCCTGACTGCAAGTGAAATCTTATAATATATGAGATTAAATAAAACGGGTGTATGTATTTGTGGTTTAAATGTGCCTGAATCTTTTTTTTTGTTTTGTTTTGTTTTTGATGCTTCCAATATCTTTCGTGCATTATTGCCTGATCTAAAGCAGGAATAATCACGGCCAAAAGTCAACCACGGGTGGAAATATTGTCCTGTAGTGCCATCTAGAGGCATGATGCAAAACAACACCCCGGAGGAAAACCCCCTCTTATTTAACTAAAAAAAAAAAAAAAAACTATTGCATACGGCATTGATAGTGGCGCGGGTACCCGCTCCTGTGGTTGCACTGTGGTTGACAGGAAAGAAATTTCATCTGTGCTGTATGTTGCACATAGAGCATATTTGACAATAAAGCTGACTTGACTTTTTTTTTTTTTTTCAGGCTTTGGAGGCTAACTCGTAAAACGCTGCATTGTCCCCTTTCGGCCAGTAGAGGACGCCAGCGCTCTTCATTTCCGGTGAGCGACCAGACTGAAAGAAAACGGCTTCCTCATACTTTTTATCAACATTTTCAAACAGTGGTTATTCAGATCAGTCAACTAATCTAAGTAGTCTGAACACGTTTAAAAAACAAAAACCTATAGCGTCGCATTCGGGGTATTCACGGCGTAAAACTTACTCCGGTTATTTTCGGCAAAGCGAGCAAACGCACTTGACTATGGCGGACTGCAATGAGAGCTCAAACACTTCAAGTCAAGTGTGAATTAGCGCAACAATTTTAGTGCTAAAGTACTTTAAAGTGGCCTTGGGGAATAAAGGAGTGTAAGTGTTGGGTAATTAAGTGTTCTGCCGTATTCATTTGGGAGCCAAAGTATGTATACGAGTGAAATCATGCATTTTAGCTGTTCCCCAACATAACTGTGTGTGAATTCATACTCTGCATAAACCAAAGACGAGTTGAGGAACAGCATCAGTGTTGTAATCATTTACGCGACAAACATTTAAACGCAGTGGCACAACACAAGTGGGCTGGTAAAATAACACACGGATATTCTGCCAAAATTAACGACTTTTCTGAGTTTGTCTGTCTTGTACTGCCCCCGGGTGGCCAAAGCGTGCACAACAGAAGGAACGGCAAAATGTTGCATTAAATTTAAGTTTTAAAAAAATGTGGCTAAAACTCCTGACATTTTCTTCAATCGTGTCATTGTTTTTGTGGCGTATTACGGAGTGCTGTTTTTTTTAATTCATTTTGATTTTCTCACAAAACAAAACATTATCCATATTATTTCTGCACAACTTTTCCTTTTTTTTAGGTGTGACTTTATTCCTGCATAATTGTTCTTTGGTTATTGAAATCTTGTTGGAACGTGGTTTTTTTTTTTTTTTTAGTTTTCCATTGAAATAACACTTTCATATTTTCCTATCATAAATAGTTTTTCTTTCCTTTTCTTTGAGAGGGCCACTGTTTGTGCTGGCTCAATTCTTAACTTTTTCTTCCCAACTCAATGATATATAGTCTTCGTAATTATTCAATTGCAACTTTTCAGTGCAGAGCGTTTCTCATGTGTCGCTCCCCACCCGCCAGCGGCCAGTTTGCGCGAGCTCAATAATCCGAATTAGCGGACCATCTGCTGTCTCCTCCGCCTGCTCCGCGCACTACTTTGTCACGCGCCTCCTCCTCCTCTTCTTCTTCCTCCTCCTCCCTCTGCCCTCCATCCTCCCTTCCCTGCCTCCCTCCCGCGTGCGCTTGCATGCTGTGCGAGCGAGGGGCCACCGGGCGGAGTAATCGCACTGGTATCAATTGAGCGCGTGCACGTGCCTGTGTGAGTGCGCGCGCGCGCGTCTGGGTGCTTGGTCTGTTGCCGCCGCCGCTGCTGCTGCTGCTGCTGCTTGTCACTCATTGTTGCGCGCACACGGGCAGCGACGAGGAGCACCGATCCGCCCGCTGGCTGTTGTTGTTTACCGGCTTTTTATATAAAACCAGGAGAATATCCGTGACTCCTTCTTAAAGATGCTTCAAATAAGGGACATCCTCTGGGGATTCCTCTACATCGCCTGCGCAGGTGAGATGTTTATCTATTCATTTATTTTAAATGGAGGTGCTAGTGCAGCATCCTCCGGAGCGCCGCCGGCGGCCGACCGGAGGCTTGTTACCCGGCGGAGGGGCGTCGCGCTCGGACCCAAAAGTTTCCTGCCACCAGGCTCCCCCAAGAGGGTTGAAAATGAAACGTGGCGGCTTGGAATCAGTCTGTCAAGCTCAAACTTGCTTTTGGGGATAAATTCAAGCTTCTTTTTTTTTCTTGTGGATGCTGGAGCATCACCAGTCCCCATTCACCCCAAAGCCTTTCCAAGGGTGATTTTATTGTATTTTTTTTCTCCATCCTAACGTGTCAAATGCCCCATCATGTGGTGTGCACATGTCCAGAAGTTTAGAGTGGATGAACTAAGGGTTGCTGTGTTTTTTCCCCTCTGGTTATCTTTTGTTATATGTGGATGGATGGTAAAGTAGAGTTTCTGAGAGTCCAGACAGAACCGAATGTGCTGTTTAATCCGGTTGGAGACTACTGAATAGTCATCGAGTAAATACAATAGCTTGCAATCCAAAGGCTCCTGTGGTTAGGGGAGTCTTTTTTAACCCCCACCCCCCTCCACCCCACCCCACCCCAAGCCCACAACCACCTCAAACCTCCTCCGCCTCCTCCTTACATCTGCTCTCCAGTTCTATAGGCGACCCCAAGTGTAGTTTGGAGGGCTCCCAGGGCCCTTTGGAGAGAGGAAGAATAGTTGATTTACGAGACGTCCGCCCGGTTACAAAGAGCAAAGTTTAGGCATTGTCGGCGCACGGTTCTGTTTCTCTTCATCGGCCAACTGTTATATTTAGCCCATGTGTGCTGGCAGGAGCTGAAACCAGCAGGTTGACCAGCACTATACCACATCTGCTTTGAGCGGATTTGTCATAACATACCTAGAAATAACAAAAGAAAAACAAAAAAAAAGACCACATGCTAATGCTGTTAGCTTACCTAGCGGTGGATTCCACAGTGTCCACTCAGTTGCCTTCAGTCCTCGCTCAGGTTAAAACTGTTCCCTGATGATGTGACAAAACCACACAAACATAAACGGGTACATATATGTACTCATATTTATAAGTATGTATTATTTTCATCCACATCTTAATTAAATGGATAATGAGTCAATGCAGCTCCGTAACTTGGGGCTCCTTTTGTGACAGTAGCAGTTGTTTGCAAATGTATAATCACCTTCACACAGATACAAATTTCCATTAGCCCCTCTATAGCTTTTTCACATTACATGTTAGCATTAAGCTAACGGGGCCTTCGTTCGATGAAATTGTGTGGGATGGTGAATCGTTTTGGCGCTTAAACACACTGTGCAATGATTTATTGACTTTTAGTTGTGGGATTTAGACAGTAAAACCTGAACTGGGAGTTGTAGCGAATTCTTGATTCGACCTCAGTAGCTGTTTCCAGCGATAACCTCCGCGTTTTGCCATAGGCTACTCTTGTTGCATGGGGGCGGGGGGATGAATAATGTACGCTAGGCTACCGCAGTGTACTTGTCCGACTTTCATTGTTTTCCACATACAAATGCAGTACATATTTTACAGGGGTGACTCATAAACAGCTTGAAGCAAGCACACTTGACTTCTTTGATGGAGGAATGGCCATTATCTGCCGACCGGGAACAGCACGAAAATTACGCAGTGTTGTTTCATTGTTGACGTCAAGGCACTTTTGTTGTACCGGTATATGAAATGAGTATGTCGACAGCTGTTCTGCTTTGTTGCACCTCAGCGAATAAAAATGTATTCCTGTACCAGGGTTGTCCTGTGTAACGGTACTACAAAAGTACCAAAATCTCATGATTTTCCCAATGTTGTTCGTTATCGTTTTGTCTCTGGTCCATGCTGTTGCTAGTTCATTTCGACGCCACGGGTCGGTTCCTGGCCGGTGCATCAGGAACGGCATTTGGCATCACAACCAGGTTCTCCTGGTCAATGAACATGTGCGCCAGGGTTGAAATTGCTGCGACACATATCAAACCAACAACACTTTCTGAGGAATCACATTGGAGTTATCAGACAAAAAAAAAAAACAAACAGTCGCGTCCGAGCAAGATTTGCTTTGCCTACTTGCTTATGTCGTAGAAAGGGTTCTGTCAGTCGTCATCTGTACCTGTGGGTAAAAAACAAACAAAACAAAAAAAAAAGAACCCTTTCTACGATGGAACTTTCCTGTACGACTGAGAGCCTCCACAAGCTACTTGCTTATGCTTTTATTCATTAGCGGTTCAACTGGCTCGGCGAATGTGTCCTGTTTATCCCCCCGGTTGATGATGCTGCATTGCTTGGAATCTTTCAGAGATATTTTAAGAAAGTCGCTGCAGTGCGCACAAGCTGATAAAGGAAAAGAGTGAGGAGGATAATTAGACATCTGTGAGGTTGGTGCCGCTCTGTTGCGGCAGGCGAAAAAAGTCAAAGAAATTGATCGCATTATTTGATAGGCCGGGGGGTGTATTAAAAAGGGTAATGGCGGTATTACTTATTCGAAGGCTGAGCAGCTTAATTGACTTTATTGATTTCGGGTTCCTGTTTCGGTTCAAGTGTAATTCATGTTTGAGGCCGGTGAAGATGCAGAGATGAGATTTGAGAAATGTAATTGTAATGTATATTCAACCTGGTCCTTTGAGTGTCTGGACTTTGGACCGGCGAGTCGAGATGTTCATGGGTTTGCCGACAGGAACCGATGTGATGCCGTGTTAGCTTCCCCTCGTGTTAGCTGATTTGATAATTAGCCACAGTTTGACGAGGGATTTCCTGGTTTATCAGAGCATATCAGAGCCGTACAGTAGTTTTGGTTCACGAGGGAACAAGATCGAAACTGCGGTCTTATGTCGTGACTGACTCTTCCCGATTAACTTGTGAGCATTCCAGTTGTCATATTGGTGGTCTTGGATGATTACATTCTGGTTTGAAAAGGCGTTGAGTCCCATTCTGGGGTTTTCCGGTTTATTTTCCCGATGACACAGAGAAAAACTTCTCATTTGTCCTGCCGGATGGAGGTTTATTGGAGAAAATACACATTTACAGATTTTGGCGGCATCCAGCAGGGTGGGATGTTAACCCCCCTGATGTTTAACTAATCTGAAATGCGATCACAAATCTGGTTTTAGTCCTAACAACCGCTTGGACTTCGTTAACACCTGTGTGAAAAATCAAATCGCATAAATTTGCTCAAGTGAGATCGATGTGTCGGCTTGAGAGATATGTGCTAAATAAACATCAAATTAACAGCACAGGGCCGCTGCCGCCGTACGCCCTCGGGCAAAGTGAGATTTCCTTCTTGTTCCTGCATCACTGTGAATAATCTTGTTGCATTTTGATGAATGGAAAAACTATTTTTGCTTGGTGGGAATTCCACAATTGTGTTTTGTTTTTAAGGCGTTTGCGACAATTGCAGATTTTTGTGAACGCTAAGCAGCATTTAGCAATTCATCCACGTCGCTACATCGAGTGTTGAGTCTGAATTCCAATCCACCCACCTAACGAAAAAAATGAGGAAAACGGTAAAAGTTGCAAGAGAAATAGTGCAACTGCAAAATGGCAAACACATGTGCCTTTCTTTAACTTGCGTGCGGTTGTTCAAAGCCGCTAGGAAAATAATATGGGCTATTTTTGAACGAAGGGGAACTGCGGGGAAAAAAAAGAGCAGCCAAACAAGAGGAAAATTATAAGGTCGCGCTCAGAATAAATACGAGCCTCTAGAACTTTGTCACTGCACCATCTGCGTGTAAAAGGGACACGAGGAACACGTTTGACTCTGTTGCATCATGCTAATCCGAACATAACAGGTTTTGGGAGGGCCGATAACTACTGCTCAAAAAAATCCTCCCCAGAGCTATGAAAAGGAGACACCGATAAGTCTCCTTTTTCGTGTCAGTCTCATATTTTATTACATGGTGCATCCACTTGGCTTCCAAATCATCTTCCCCCATTAAAATGAATGGAAATGCCATCAATCTGTTCCAGCACCCCCACAAATCTTTTAGGTCTGTCTTTTGTAGAAAGGAAATAGCACTCCATAAAAAAAATGTACTTATTGTACAAATTAAAACAGATGTCAAGACTTCAACAGTTTATACGTCATGATTTAATGCCACAAATTATAACGTTGAACAGGTGGTTTCAAACGCAAGGATGGATGAAATGAAAGCTGAATCGTGTCTAATATTCATCATTTGCTGTCAACCTTGAGTGCTTCCAGTCTACAGCAAATACAAAGTGTCAAGAAACGATTCCGATACTGTACGTCGCCAAACGCAGTTAACCCCAAAGCGAAATAATGGCTTCATTATTCCTAAATCCTCAGCATGTAGCGGGGTGTCTTCACATTGAATTCGTCAGTGTACCATTCGTATTTGACAGCCGCTCGCTCTATTTCATCTCCTGCCACTGTTAGACGGCGATGGGCCGGCCTTTTGCATATTAATAAGTACGTGAATAGAGCCGTGAGCCATTTGCATTGTGTGAGTTCCGAGGGTCTTCTATTGAAAAGTGAATGTGGGGGAAGAAGCACAAAAATGATACACCACCCCGCCCACCCAACCCAACCCGTGTTACATCTAAATAGATTTTTTTTTTATACAGTACGTACGGTCCATACATCTCTGAGACTGGCTGAGGAAAAAGAAAGGACCAGGTTGGCACTTTTTAATGTGGTTACGGTGATATGAAAAACACGTGCAGTCTGTATTTCAACCTATGTCGGCGGTTTCGGTCTCATTAAATGTACAGTAAAGTTCTAATTTGTACTCAATGTGCTCCTCGCATTTCGTTTAATCTTGACAAGTGCCAAGACGGTCGCAAATGGTCCGTTGTGGAAAGAAGGACTGCAGCAAAAACCGCACCACATATGCCGCATGCATTTTATGGTCGGTCGAAGCTCCTCGCTTCATGAGACTATTTGTAGGGAGCGACCGTAGTAGCATGACAGCTCCTGAGATTTGGCCTGTTGGTGAATCGAAATTTGTAGATGTTTGATCG